TACCCCGCCGAGCAGCACATGGCCGAGAGATCCGCCACGGTGACATCAAACGGCAGGTTGTACACGCTTTGCGCTCCGTGGCACCGCACTGTGGCCTGATAGCTGACCCGCATGCCGCACGCTCTCGGGGCTAGCTCGGGAGCGTGATGCGCGCCGTCCACCTCTGATGCTCTGCGAATTCCTGACGAGCGCCGCCTTCGATTAAACGAGCGGCAGTGCCGCGGGGGATGCGTTTCCGCGCATGTTTTGGGCTTTTGCCCTCACGGACGAGAACCCAAAGCGCGAGCCCGGCGACGAACCAACAAGCTAGTACTTAAGAAGTTATTACCTTACTGTGAATCTGTGATGAGACACAGATCAAAAGAAGAGCACGCTGAGAGCAGATCCGAGCCCCCCCCTCGACTCCCCTCTGCCGGCACTTGAGCACGTCTACGGGCCATTCACTCGGCCGGCCCTTCTTTCGCCTGCCGTGGGGTGAAAGCCCAGGAGGCGAAGGCGGAGGCGAACGCTCGGCAGAAGGAGCGCGTCGCTGCCATCCTCGCGGGCACGGACGCTGCGGGCGCGGGCGCGGGGGTGGAGGAGGCGCTCAATTGCTGGGAGGAGGGTGCGTACGAAGCGGAGACGCTGGAGACGCTCGCCGAGTTCGGCGATTGAGCGCCTCCCTCTCTCTCCGGCTGCGCGCCTGACCGGTGCGGCCTCCGAGTCGGCGTCTAGCGCGCGCGATAAGGTTTTTGCTCGCCTTCCCTGGGACCCCGTGTTGCATGTCACTGTCATCACTGTGCGATTTCGGGGCCCGGGGTTGTGCGTTTACGTGAAAGAAACCTCGAATTTCTTGCTCCCTGTCGGTGGCTGCTTGCCGCTGTTTGCTACACGGACCACGGACACATCCTTTGTGCATGTGCACGAGCCTTCGTCAACGAAAGGTGCCACCCTCACAGGCTGTGTCCGAGGAGGCCGCTGCGGCGAGGGATCACGCGCAGAGTCGGAGCGCGAGAGGCGGTTGCGTCGGTCTCTGCCGACGCCTCTGTCTCTGCCTCGTATCTTTGGTGGTGGCGGCGTCACTACTAGCGCCACTCGGGCTCGTGATGAGCGCGGCCGTGGCCGGCCGGCCGCTCACTCACGAGGGCGTCATGCAGCCGCTGGGTGGAATCAATTTTGCGCTCATGCGCTTCGCCCGCGACATCTCTCGTGCAAAGGCACGACGGCGGCGCTTCAACCAGCGGTACGCTCTGGTGCCACTGCTGCTGGGCAAGGAGGAGCCGCTGCCGCTGGGCGACCCGGACAGCTGCATCGGATGCATCTCCTTCACGCGGGACGAGCTCGCAGACTTTGACGGACGGCCGCTCCCCGATGGCTCTCCGTCACCGCTCTACCTCTCTATCCTTGGCCGCGTGTATGACGTGAGCGGCGGCGCCGCCTTTTACGGGCCGGGCAAGTCCTACCACAAGCTGGTCGGCAAGGACGCCACTCGCGCCTTTTGCACCGGCTGCCTCGCGCCCTCGTGCCTCATCTCGTCGACCGCCCAC